CCTACTTCAACGCTGTATACTGATCTATTTATAAACGTACAGTATTTTTTATGCTTAAGCACAAAAAAGCTTCTTATTCGTAAGCACGTAGTATTCCCAGGCCAGTCAATGTTATGAATAATTTGACCGTGTGCTATACACTTGTTTTATGAGTCATCTTACAAAACGTTTTAGGTAAATCATTTCATAAAACTTGTTTTATAAAAGTCTGACAGTGCGCAACAGATATAACTGTGGGTGCCCTCCCTGAAGCTTTCCCTTAAGAGCCGCCACTTTCATGAAGCACAATAAAAACTAGCAATTCCCCAAGAATAACAGCAGCTAAAATGTACAAGCTTGGTGAATATTGCAGCGTAGAGTTTTGCACCAACGCATGTTAATACTATTGTGATTACACTTCGATTGCTAAACGAGTTTCTTAACTCTGAAGGACGAGTGGCACTGACGACGGTGGATTGTCTATATTTCTACTGCACATGCACATATCTCTATTGATGTGAGGAATACTTACTCAGCAGCTTTGTGTACGGTTTGTAACATCTAAAATCCGAAATATGGCTTAAGTTAGGAAGATTCCGTTAATCGCACATTAAGCCAACAGTTTAAATAAAGCTGTCTTAAAGTTGATTAATGGATTCTTTGGGACTTCATCTGGCCAATAACATTAGCCACAGGGTGATGGATTAACGTAAAGCGACAGTGAGGCGTCGCGTTCATGATTGCATTGAAGTGCGTTGCATAGACTCATGGATTTTACGTAAATCGCGGAAGCTGGACAATGGAACATCATAGTGCCAAATCGGAAATGTATAGTGAAGCGACAACTGAGATATATAGTGCGGTTAGGTTTCGTGGCATCGAGTAAATAGTAATTTACGACTAATAAAGGAACTCGTAACTACACACCTTGCCTCTCAATTAGACTTCCTATTAGAATATTGGTATTGTGGGGAGTTTTCGTTGTATTTACAATGAAATAATTATATGAGCCGTCATTGCTCATATAATTATTTACTTCTACCAGAATCTTTCTATCAGAAGCCTGAACCGCGTGTATAACGTATATTTGCTATTCCTCCTCGCTGTAACGTAGTTTGCTATCCTAGCCACATCGTGTTGGCTAACGTGTCCATAATTAGGCCACAGAATTCTGCGAACCTGCCTCTACTTCATTCTTTATCGATCGATTTTAGATATGTGAACATTAACTAGCTAATTCTCGAAAGAGCCAGATTCAGACATTTGCCGCAATATAGCGGCGACCAAAAAACTAATAAATGTGCTCCCTATAGTTCCCGACAAACCTGTTCCACCAAGACACGCCCACAGGGTACCAATAATTTTCTTTCAAATCATTGAACCTTTCCTTTCATTGAATTTCGGTTATCACTGCGATAACATGTGTGATTTATGTGCAACTAAAGTTTCGTTGACTGAAGAGAGTCGGGAGCTAAGAGCTTATCGCGGCTGGGGTGGTCGGTGTTCCGCTGGCAGGAGATACCGGGATGAGGAAAACACCGCAAGCCACCTTCTGGTATAAAAACATACACTATTCTTACTGGACTAATAATGAGGAAACACGAAATAATCAATCTGAAGCTTGACTAAATGTTGGCGATCCAAGCCGATCATTGTCTGGATGAGAACTGCAGATGTCAGGTGCACTAGCGGTTGACTCCTAGTTTCCTCTGATTAATTCCAACGGCAGAGATAACTCAGCGACAACATCCGCTGTCGCCGCCGCGTTTCCTACCGCGTGATCCTAGAGTTCTATTCCCGATGATGAAGGATTTTCGATATTAGATAACCAGTTTTGGTCGAATTCTAGCGGCTGTCTGCTCTGATCAGAGGTTTTCCATGGTTTCTCAACACCAAGTGCAGTTCCCTAACAAACGGACCACGGACCGAATGAATTCGTCAATTCTTCATCCTAGTCCTTCCTCTCTCCTTTCACACACACACACACACACACACACACACACACTTATATACACAGCACTACCACACATCGGGATCTATTCGGCAGCTACGAACTTGGACTCTTGGAGCTAAGAACCCGACTGAAGCGGTGTCCCACCAAGGGAGATACCAGGAGGGGGAAATGCCTCAAGCCATGCATATCGAAACCGGATAACACGAGGGACGAATAAAGTCACCTCCCGGATTATAACACGCACCACACTTACGGGACTCATGACTACGCGCCCGAAGAAACTAAATACGCAAACATCCCAATCTACAAAAGAGCGATGAGCCAATTCACCAACGCCTTCTGCCCCATCCATCCTTTATATCTTCGACAAGCGTCAGAGATCAGGGTGCAGCAGAGCCGCCAGTTCCTCCATAAACTGCACTTCGATCGTAGTGGGATAACCGTAGACACTTTCATATTTCCCGGAGCCATAATATCCCGGTCGCGGCGGCGAATTCTTTGAACAAATTTAATGAAAAATACAACAAATTTGATCATACAAATACTTTGAACAAATAATTCGTTGTTGCTCCTCATCCAGTTACGGTACTGTCCGAGTGGGGTCTCGCTCAGCCGAATTGAGGAGAACACGGCTATTCAAGACCAAATGATTTTAACCCTCACTAGCATCTAAGACCTGTCGCAGTGCGACCCAAAAGTTGAACGTCATTGCGTTCGAAAGGGAATGACGATGTTCGAAGTCGACATAACAGTATAAACTGAGCTTAAATTATTTCCGCGGATCTGGGGCATCCAAAATGGAGGTAGACAAACTTATTTCGTTAGATTATAAACAAGAATCCCTGACCTAAACCAAGGTACCACATCAGGAACATCACCGGGGAGATGTAGCAAAAAATGCTGGAAGAAATGGGTGGATGTTTGTTTCTTTTTTTAATTTATTGCTCCTCAGTGAATACATTTGCATTTCAAAGTTATAACGTCCATTTTACAGAGCTTTAGGGCACGGACATTCTTAAAAAGAGTTTGGTTTACTTCTTTGGATTATTGCAGTTCAAGGTAGGAAGCTAGTGGGGGAGTATGTGATATGTAATGTGTGGGAGGGATATGTGATACGTAATCATTTGAACACCGAGATCTAATACGGTCGAATAGAGCATGACTATTACCATTAGGCAGAATCAGTCCGCAGTTAACTTTCTTCGGCTGAGCAGGAATCCACTGTGACCGTACTCTTATTGGGTAGAAAAACACGCCCACGACTGCGAGAGCTAGTCGAGAGAGGAGGTTTCGCTCCCAATGGGAAAGGCAAACGCCGTGAGTTAATGGCGCCCAAGGTGAGTCGCAGGAAGCCTTGATAAGACTGGGGCAAACGCCGCGCGAGAGGTCATGCGCTGGAGCTCGCGGGCGGGGGATTACGCCAACCGGATCGCACAGGCTCCAGCACAGCGGAAATTTCCGGCGAAGGGCGTGCGCCTACTCCGCCTGACCTGTCCATGCTTCATCGCTGCACAAGAAGAGTTGCACTTCTCAAACCGCGCCATTTTTAGTTAAGGGAAGAAATGTATTTAGAATATAGTTTACTAATAAAAATTTCATAAACGTATGTCACAAAAAAACTGAGATATGGAAATGTCTTTATCGGCAAAGTGCACGTCTTCGCCTAGATTAAAACGGTTATTCTGGAAAATAAAGATTTTTTAATTGTGTCACTTTTCTTGAACACCGTCCATTTGATCTTTAATTTTATTTATTTCGTCAAAAAAAAAACGGTAAAAAAATTATGTTTCCTGCGGGGAAGAAGTACAATCTGCACACGTTTTCTTGAGCTCCAGAATCCCTACTCCACCCATTTACTAAACATACTTGAATGATGAAAAAAGTACCAAAAAAGCGATGTTAGTAACATTTCAAACCAAGAATGTGCCCAGTGACATCTGACAATGAGTAATACTTACCGGTCAACGAACTATAGTTTAAGTGTGAAAGAAAAAGGATAGGGTTTATGATTGAACCCTGCAGGATCCCATTCTCAATTGAAAACAATTGGAGAGATGAGTAACTAATGTTCTTTCATGCGTTTTCTATTATGTGAGATTGATATTTAAGGAACAAAGTTATGCAATCCTGGGCAACACCATGATTTCCATAAGAAGGAAATTATAACAAAATTTTATGGTAAATGGAGACAAATGCTTTCTAAAGATTTTTCAAATATTCCAATACGGACTACATTTTGATCCATTGATGAAGCAATATCTTTGAGAAAAGAAAATATAGCAATTTTCGTAAATTTGCATATTCTAATTCCATGCTGAGTCTAAATAGGCTTAGTTTCTTTCTCTTTTCTTTCTTTTTTTTCTTTTTTTTTCTTTTCTTTTTTTCTTCCTTCTTCTTTGCGAAAATCATCCATTGGTGAAAAACATTAATTCTGTGTTTACATTTTATACAAATTAATTAAAAGTAAATAGACATACGAAATTAGAAATCTCATAAACATTACTACATTAAAAATTTCAACATTTAACATTCATTTTCATGGCTGCACAAAGAAATTAGTTTCTATAACTACTGTCCTCGCGGATATTATAGCTTATTCCGTCTACTACATCGGCGAATATTTCAACTCAAATTAGGTCAACTTTGAAATGTATTCCGTTTTCAGGCATAGATGTCTGATATTTCCTTTCTCATTAATACATTGTGAACAAATTATCTCAAACGGTATTTTAAAACTCTTTTTAAACATTCCGATGTATAGAATGAAACATTGATATTTCTGAAGAATCAATAACTCGTTAAAATCTATATTACAATTTATTTAGTTGAAGAATATCAAATGTTAATCGCTGCAACGAGAATTTTCTTTCGAGGACTATGACACGCCAATCAATATTAATTTTCTTTCGGGGACCGAAACCGAACAATTATCACGCCGTTCAATATTAATCGACTATTTTTTTTTTTAATTTGAGAAGGAGCTTTAGACCCTTTGGTCCTTCGCATATCAATGAATGAACCTTTTCCATGTACGCATTTCGGTTGGTGTCAAATGATATTGAAATACTCGATGTCACTGTCGGTACGTCCCCATCGATTTGTCGCTCTCGATGTCTGAGGGGAATTGTATCGCGACGCGGGGGCGGCGTGGGCGGTCCAAGTGGGGCAGTGCGGTAACTGGGCAGCGCAGCGCTGCGCGGAGCTGCGGCTTTCTCGCGTGTCACTTTCACTGCCCGACCTTGCCCCGCGCCTCCCCGCCCCGCCCCGCGCCTCACGCCCCGCCCCGCGCCGGCTCTGCTGATTGCCCGCGATCAGCTCTCTGCCTTCATGATCTGTGCTTCATCGCATGTAAATCAGCGCCCCTTGCGAAATAAACGGAAAAAGGAAAATTCTGATATTAACGTCGATGTTGAAGGAAATAAACATGCGGTATGCGTCATAGTTTCAGACTGTACATAGAGCATTCTCCACAGCTTAAGAGAAAAAACAGAGTGATAATATTGACCAGAGTGGAAAGATCGCAAGTAATTTAACACCAACATCTGATTTCCGTCTCATTATTCAAACATTCCAATCCTACTATTTAAAGACTAAATTATCATTCCATAAATATTTACTAGGTAAACAAATCGTATACTCTATTCGAAATAGCAGATTGGAAATTGAAGGCCCAGATGTTGATCTTCGAAAATTGCATGATGTTCCAACAAGTTGTACTGAGAATAGCAATGTATATCCTACCACTCTATCACCAAGACAATCTTAAAATACAATTGGAATAATTCCAGAGGTAATATCAAGAGTTAAACTTAGGGGTGTTATATTTTCAAATTTCATTCCATTATGATTATTTTACTTCCAATTAAAATAATAAAATAAACGTGGCAGAAGAAAACTGATTACGCTCCTTAGGACTCAAAATGATTTTTGTATTTCTAAGCTAGTTTAAGAGCACATATAATCTAATCTAGTTTAATTAAACAGTTATAAACGATTTAAGTGAGAGATTAAGAGAAAGCAACGAGGATCAGTCTGCAATTAAAACAAGTCAAGCGGCCCCTTTGAGAGGCTGTCTTGCAAAGTCTCGCTATCTAGTTGTAGATAATGTTTTATGTACTACACCACACTAAAATGCACAGATTGATAACACTGGATTAATTACATTTTTACGCCAGATTAGACACCACTGAGTTCAATGACTCAATGGTAATTTCCGAGAGCAATGGCCATTGCCGACACAGCCAATGAACCAGAACGTCATTATTTTTGTTTCTTTCCACGCCCAACAAGCACAACGTTTCTACTGTAGACCTTTTCACTAATGATGCAGCAATAAATCAACGAACTGTAAATTCATTCACGTCTACAATGTCTAGTTCCCAAGAAAAAAATATATTTGTTCGACATCAACATAATTTAAATATTGGTATTAAATATTGGTACTAAATATATGCAAGCCTTGAGTGGCTGAGAAAAAAATCACTGAAATAAGTACGATAGTTTCTGTTGCGAAATAAAGAATTATCTAGTATCCTACGAACTCCTATGTCCACTGATGTGTGGATTTCTCAGCAAATTCCCAACCTTCCCAACTAACTGAAATCAAACATTTTGATGGTACTGTATAAAACTGTCTTTGAGTCATAAATAATTGAGAAATTAAAGTTTTCAGCACACTATCACGTAAAAAAATACAGTCTGCTGCAACTAACTTTGACTGAGGTTTGTATGTTGAAAAATTGGACGCAGATTAATTGTTTAATGGAAATTAAACAATTGTAATAGTGTAATTTTATTTGAAACAGTTAATTCCAACCAATACTACAATCACAGTATTTAACATCTAGGTTTTTTACTCACGTCCTTTTCATCTCGTGCTTAATGTCGAAACAAATTATTTTTTTCAAGTAACATAAGTATAAAAACGAAGTAAATTCTTGCAGAAAAAAAATTTTAAACAAATGAAAAAATTAAGTTTTCTTTAACATGTAGTTGAAGAAGGTTCTGTGTTAAGTGAATGAAGAAATGAACTCACAAAGCAGGTCGGAGGCAAAGTAGAATTCGATTCTCCCGCTGCAAGAACTGTCCCATCAATGAGAACCTGACCAAAAATACCTACGTCCGAACTTTTCTTTAACATCTTTGACCAACCCAAAACACATGTACTTACTGTATACTTTTCCCTGGAAAATAGATATTTTAATTTTGAACCACCCACCAAAAAAAAAGACGTGAAAATTAATGTTGTCTTCATTAAAACCCTTGGAGTGAAGTTTTATACCTGTGAGAAGAAATGTATTTTGTACTTTGTAATAATTAAAAATATACCAAAATATATTTTCCTTTCATTATTGAAACATTAATTGCATAACCAAAAACGTTTGCGAATAGCTGGTGCAGCTGCCATTACCGTGGGCGGCCAGATTATGGACAGAGAGGAGGACGCCGGGAGGGCCTCCCCCATCCTAGGGAGTTTGATTTCCCATTGCTGCTTAATTATTAATTTACCCTGACTAGAAATACAATAATTCACCATAAGTGCCTTGCTTATGATTTACCCAATAGATGATATGTTCAAATCAAGGAATCCTAGTGCATGAAACTGGACAAGAAAACACTCCCGAGAGCACTCTAAGGATTCATACAGACTGTATTGTGGAGACTGTCTTCGCTTCCCTCATCAATTCTTCGATTCGTCCCTCCTGGAGTCTTGAATCCCCACATGAACAAAATTGCCAATTCGCATTTGTCCAGGAGGGGCGATGCGAAGAATGATGAGTGAAACGAGGAACATCTTCACTTAAATTAACAAAAAGCGAATGATTTCTTGCCCAATTTATTTCATTTCAATTCCTTAGTTTGAACATGTCAGAGAGAATAAAACATTAGATACATATTCAGTGCATCCTTGACAATGAAAAATTAATACATTTGTAACGATTCTAAGTATGAAAAGAGAGTACGGAAATAATGAGACGGTTCGAAATAATGAGACGGAAATAATGAGGGTTCGCACTCTGCCTCCGGAGTTTAGAATGAAGCCCACTGGCCAATTCGCAGCGTGTGGCGGACTCACCGTTGACGGGGAAGACGGTGAGCGAGGCGGGCACGCCGGTGGCCCATCGGGGCACCGTGACGAAGACGCGCTGGCCCCACACCTCCAGCCCCACGGGCACGGAGGCTTCGGGGCGGAAGGCACCCGTGGCCAGCGCGTGCTCCTTGGCGGCGGGCGACGGCCACGCGAAGTCCAGCTGCCGCCACGCAAAAGCCTCCCGCAGCGCCGCTCGCGCCCCGCCGCCGCACACCGCCAGCGCGACCAACAGCAGCGCGCCCACCCGCATGGCGCCCGACTTCGGAACTAGGGAGCAGACGAGGCAAGGGCGAACCGCTCGCGGACAGGTCTGCCAAGCGAATGAGCGGCGCGGCGCACCTCCGCTCGCACGAAGCCCCCCTCCCCACCCTCCGGCGGCGATCGCCGTCCCTCGTGACGCACCTGCACAGTGGGCGAGCGGCAGGAAAAGCCAGCGGAGCCAATTGGCTGCGATTTCCAAGCGCGTGTTTCACCGGCGTAGGTGGGCCCGTGTCCTCCCATTCGGCACGGCTCTCGCGCCAGGCGAAGCAGATGCTGGGTTGCCCCCATACGAGCTTTCCCTATTACCACAACTCAATCGCATGCGCTATTACGGAGTCCAATATATGTTTTACAATTGTCATTTCTCAGGTTCTCTAAGCAATTTAGGAAGAAATTCCAATGACGCAAACGATTAAAAAGTACAATTTTCTCGAACTATATATTTTTTTTTAAATCTATAATACTCCTTCTTCATTAACCTTCTAATGCATATTACAAAACTTCTAAGTCAAGTTTTATGATGGGATATATTCGAATTTCAGTTCAGCAACGCATCTTTCACCCAAAATAAAATAAATTAGACAATATTGCATTCATTGTCAACGCTCTTCGATGGTGGATGTTTTAAAATTTATCGTATTGTATATACATTTTTGTTGTTGTTCAACCATAACTTTGGCAAATGAGCACCGATTTAAATCATTTTCATTTGCATTAACTTAAACCGTACGGAAGTATCGCAGCAATTTTTGACACCAAAAAATGGAATCAATTAATAAATAATAAATAAATGAACAAGAGAAACACTTCACCATTGACGCCGAAACCATTTACAAGGATTTTGCAAAAATTTTATATTCTTTGAATGCGCTGGTTCAACAATGAATATTTTGATTTTTGATGTGTGTGTGTGGGAGGGGGTATAAATCGAATTTTTAGTTCAAATAGACCAAAGTGCGCTTATATACAATATAATATACTTTCTCAAAAACCGCCTCACATTTTACAATGACACTTTTAGCAAATTTCGTTCTGTTTTTATATTATAGCTGTATTGATCGATGTCTTTATCAAATATTCTGTCAATGATTTAATATGTACTAGTTGATTTACCCATCGTCGAGGGGGTCCATTGGCTTCTGTACAAAATGGCCAAAATATTCGTTCAAAGATCCCATTTTACACATTCAAGCCTCTCCGTAAACACTCATTGTACCCTATAGTTGATTAGCAGCACACATATAGCAGGCTAATGCCTGCCGTGCACCCGCAATGAACGCAACCCCGAGAAATGAATTGCAATCCAGGCATGACCCCATCCAACTGGACTAAGCTTAGGTTTAAGACAAAACCGGATTACATCCATGTAACTAATGAAGAAAAAAATAAACCAATATACTCCTTACAACATTTTTTTTCGTTAAATATGGCGCATGCCCTAAATCACAATTATGATTATGCCAGTGCAATACCTGAGATATCTAGGGGCAACATTTGGTTTTTGATTGATTAATTGATTAGTGAATCCAGGAAACACAACCGCCAAGTCACGTAAATTGGGTGGCGGTGATCTTTCACCGCTGGATAGTGAGATCGGGCGCCGCCCTCCGGTGGGTCCTAGCGGAGATTTCCCCAGCAAGGAAACTCCCACCAGCGGGCACCGTCCAGCCCGGCCGAACTCTACGCTGCCGGTCTCCCGGCATGTGTGGTAGTAAAGTGCATGTGAATGTGTAAGAGGTAGTATAGGACAACGAGGAGACAGGAAAGATATCGCAGTCCTAGGTCCATTATTGAATCGGCATTCGCCTGGTGTTGATCGGAGAAAACTACAGATAATAACAGCAGTACGCTTAAATTCTCCTAATGACAGTGGCTTATAAGCCCCTGATGATATGTGAACAGTTAAAAAAACACCCATTACGAGCCAAATTTCGAAAAATATTAATATCAGCATTACTATCTGAAATTATGTATAAAAGAAGAAAACTTTAAAAGAAATTCATACGTGCAAAGCAACCTCCAATCAGGCGAATACATTACGAGATAGACAAAAAACAAAAGGAACCTCAACTAATCAAGTTACAAAATACCCCCCATTACGTGCCTAATTTAAAACCCATTAATGTCACGACTACTATTTGAAATTCTGTATAATGTAAATTCTGTAAATTCTATATAAATTCTGTAAGCCAAATTTCTACAAAAAAAATCGCACTGCTATATCTAATTCTGTATAAAAGTAGGACACCTTAAGAGAAATTCATACGTGCAAAGCAAACCACAATCAGACGAATAGTTTACGCGATAGACGACAGACAAAAGGAACCTCAACTGTTCAAGGTAAAAAACGACCACCCCTCACGTGCTAAATTTCGAAAAATATTAATTTCAGATCTGCTAACTCTAATTTTGTATACAAGTGAAACACATTAAAATAAGGTGATTGGTGCAAAGCAAACTCCAATCAGACGAATAGTTTCCGAAATAGATAAAAAAAAAAAGGAACCTTAATTGGGCAAAGTACAAAATGACCCCCCCTTACG